GGGAGAGAGTTAATCCCCTCCTCCATCCCCTCTCCTATCAGCATGGGACCTCAACCAGGGTCTGCCTGGCAGAGGGGCAGCAGCCCTTGCCAGATGTCCCCAGCACCTACACCCCAGGTCACTGGTCAAGTGGCAGGAGCGGGGGGTGAGGAGGCCCGGTGCTCCAGAGTGATCCATTTTTTTGTCTTTTTATTCACCCAGGGTTTATGCCCAGAGATGATCTGAAAGGACCACAAGTCACAAAATCATATAAATCCAACTGGTCCACAGAATATATCCTTACTCCAAAAAAAAACCTGGAGCTGTTATTCTAATTACCCATTTTTCTAGTTCTGATAGCATTTTTCTCACCAAGCCTGCCATATCAAGTTAATCCAAAAAGCAGAAAAGTTCCTGAATTCCAACTTAATCTATGCTCCCTCCCTTGCAAAACCATCTTGGCAAGTTTAAGTGATTGAGCCTTCAAACCCCTGGAATAGATCTGGCAATGTTCAACAGCTCTAAGTTCAGGCAGCTTCCAATTTCTAAGTCCATGGTCAATAAAATTTTCAAGTGCTGTGCATAATAAAGTCTCTTGGTTTAAGTGAATTCAGTAGTGCTGACCAGGGAAGGGGGCTGCTTGAGCACTCCTGCAGTAAGCGGGGGTGGGGAGGCTGGGGGCGCCTGGCAAGGGCTACTGCCCCCCTTCTCCTCTAGGTACACCTCAACTGGAGACTGTGCAGGCCAGGGTGGGGGCTTAAATGCCTCTCCAAACATACTCAGCACCTGCTGAGGCCTGGCCACACCCCTTCGCCCAAGCTCAGCTTCCCTTCAGCCTTCCGGCCACTTCAGAAGGGAAGGGAGAGCTTGCTCTAGCACCCCTAGCTTCTAACCTGGGCCACTGCAGGCATGTGGCTGCATTTCCAGAATCGAAAGTGAATGTCTATTCAGTTGCTTCTCGGTTCAATCTACACAGGTTAGACTATTATTCAGTCTGTGCAATCTACTGCAAAGACTGAATCTATTCAGGCTTGGGATTTTGAATGTCTGTAATTAGCTCAGAAGTTTTTTCCAGAAAAATCAAAACATGACACATTCTTTTATGGCATCAGCTAATTCATGTGCAATTTGGGAAATTCTTTTAAAAAAAAAAGTTATCTACTTTAAGCTACAAAAAAATACACTGGTACTCATCTAAAGATGCAGACAAGCACTTTGTGAGATTTTTTTTTAAGTGCCTATAGCTCTACAGCATAAAAATAAACCTGGTTTAGTAACTAGTGTAGCAGAATACCATCTCTGTCTCTCCCCAAATTCTGCTACCTGACAATTTGGTCACCATGGTTGCTGCAAAGCGCAGACTCCTTTGCCCCATCTCTTCTTGTAACCCTGAGTAGTAACCTGAGCTGGATACATTCCTGAGGGCGGAGGGAAACCTGCTCCCTCCTTCTACATGCCTGGCATCACATACCTGGGTGGGGGGCTTAAGCTCCCTATTGTTCTCAGTAATGCCAACCTGACTGGGAAGGGGCTAAAGACCCTGCCAGTCTACCTGGCAACCAGTGATGCATTTCAAATTGGTTGGTTGGCAGCCAAGAGTTGCTGGCCTTCATTGGATCAGGTAAATGAGGTCATAAGGTCTACAGAAATTAAGGGCTGCCCAGGAGGAGGAGCAGTAGCCATGATGAAAACTCTCAGAGAAGCTGGACCATCTGAAACTTGCTCTCTCTCTTGAAACTCATGATCAATGAACTGTCTGCCTCCAGAGGGAATCTCCACCTGCCTCTGGATGATGCTTGTAAGCTACCTGAAATCTGACTAGGTATATAGCTTGCAGTAACTTAGATACATGATCAAAGGCTACCCAGCCACCCTGTTTGCTCCATGGGATTTCTCCGATATTGCTCTACCTATACCCTAGTCCAAACCTACTCCATATAACAAATGAAGTTCTCCTTTGTACCTAGCACGGGAGACTTATTGGGAGAGGGTCTAGATTATGCCTTGGGGGCCACATGGTATGGCTGACTAAGGAAGACCACTATTTGTGCTTCCGACTGAGGGAAGCGCCCCAAGTTCTTGCAGTGGGTCGAGTACCCTCAAGGACTGCTAGGCTTGTGTTTCCCATGGGGCACAGGGCCAGGATCAATCCAGACCCTGGGTGGTGCCACTGTTACCCCCAGGCTAGTAGGTGTGCTCCAGGAAGGGGGTCGGCTGGACATGAGGCACCCTCAGGGAGGTATTTGGAGCCTAGAAGGTGATCAGGAGCAGTGAGGTGGGTGGCTCAATGCAGGAGTACCTGCTGCCGGCCCACCACACCTAGTCCCATTTGAAAAAAATCCAAAAAACAATGTATTTGCCACTTTAGGTGCTTAACTATCTTTAAACGAGTCTGGATGCTATTGCTTTAAGAGTTCCTACTATCACAACCGAATTAAGTTGTCAAATACAATATACAGAAAATTAACAAAAGCAAAATGAAAAAGAAGTTGTAATTTGCAAAGGACTTGTATGCCTATATACTAAAAAAGGAAAAATTCAGCTGCAACAATCAGTTAGCTAGGACCAGTTAAGTAGACTTCAATCCGTTTTTCAAAGGTATATACCAAGATAAATCTATAGCTATAGTACTCAGCTATACAATACAAACACGTTCATTAGTACTAGTATTAACATGTATTATGCCTCATAATTAAAAATATAAATATTAAGGGAGAATTTCTCTTCATACACAGCATACTCAGAAGATATAATAGTTTGTTGCTTATATTTTACTTATCTCAGTATACTGAATCTTCAATCTAATTAAGAAAATTCCTAGAGGATCTCTGCTTTTCACACACTAAGTATACAGCAAAGGATAACACCTTTTTTTAGACATAAGACCTTGAGATGTGTTTATAGATACTCTGTGTAGCCACCATTGAATGCCCTAGAGCTGTGGAGAGTGGGATCACTGGGATCCCCTACCCTGAGACAGTTCACAGTGTGGGGATGCCCTAAAGACAGACTGTCTGGAAGTCCTGGTTCCACAGAAGGGAGCCTGGAAGAAGTCCTAAGAGTTCTGGTTAAGCCAGGGCTTCTCACTCCCAGTTTCACAGCTGCAATCCTGGAAGCTCTGACACAGATAACTACCACAGATCCATAGGCCTTGTGAGCACCAGAAGTGAATGAGACACACTACACCACTGGATGAGAATCAGGAAATAATGGGTTTAATTCCAAAGTCTGGTGAGGAGTGTATTTAAAGTGAGTAAATGCCACTCTACCACTGTCTCTGAGCCTGACCCCTTTCCATGCTTTCTATTCCAACCTTTTATCTTCACTCTGATTCCTGTTTCTCACCCCTACAGCCAATACCTTGCCCAGTTAGTCCTAGGTCATTACCTTCCACTCCAGCTCTTAATCTGTAGTATCCTTGCTCAACCAGTTTCAGTTTTCCCACTGCAACCTACCTCCCTGTCATTTCTCTGTATTCCTTACTAGAGGCGCATGCATAGAGATTTTGCGGGCTGATACCAATAGCTGATATTTAAGGAGGCATATTGGTGGATACCAATCCAATTTCTGATACAGCTGCCTCCAGCTGGTCAGTCTGGTGTGCTAGAAGGGGAGGGGGAAGGGAAGGAGCATAGTGGGGCAGATCAACGCCCCCC